CTTATTTTATCCTTTATCCTACTTTTCGTTTATAATATCTTTTCCCCATATTTTTTCTTTATAATATTGTAAGTTTATTCTTCTAATCATTGATGTATAACACTGTGATAATTTTAAATTTGAACTCTATAATTTGAAAATGGGTTTTCTTTAAAGCGGATACCGAATATATAATAAGAAAGAACATGTACTCACGATGAGTAGTAATTATCTCCGCCATCAATTATATATCTCGAGCTTAGAAATGTCTTTGAATTCAGTTTTAAATAGGCTACTGAATACAAAAAATAAAGGGAAAAAATACTTACTTATATTACGCTTATCATATTCGAAGATCGTGACCGGTAGCAACTATCTACATCATTAACTATAGATTTCGAGTTTAGAATGAATTTACTTTCACCCCTAATAGTCGTATCAAATATAGGGTGACAAAATCCCTTAATCATCAAATAGTTTGTCTATCAATGATGAAAAGTTGTTTCATATGTCGGGTTTTGATTATCAAATACGACGTAAATTCTACAAAAAATTCACCATAACGACAAAAACTCATTCATGAAAACATGATTCTTTAAATCCATCCAAGTTTGGCCTGATCATTGCCCCATTTATTTACTGGCTCAACTCATTAAAAAACTGTGTTGATATGTTGTAGAATGTAGTTTCTGACCTTTTAACCAGTCTAAATAAGTGTATAATTTCACATATGTTGAATTTTGAGCATTTGGCATGGTTGAAATTCAATTATTCACATTTTAAACTATCTAACACGGTTGGAGAGAGGTTAATTAATGTATCGATTTTCTAGCAAACAAAGAAAACAAATAAGAAGAAGATTTAGAAATTTTTATGGAAATGCACTCAAGCATATGTAGTTTTTTTCTTCTAAAATATTTAAGTAATACTGCTTTTATGACTTTTTAAGGCTTTTCCCTATTTACTAAAAAAATAATACACATTTGATATATGTCCCCTTCAAATATTCTCAATTGTCATAATAATTTATAGCTATAAAAATTATACTATTAAAAAGTAGAATAAAATATTAAATAATAGTAGCACTATTTTACTGATATATTTTTGTGGATATAAGAGAGTACAAGCATTTATGGTATTACATTGACTTTCCTTCAATAGAAAAATAAACTTCAAACAATTTAAGAAAATTCGGGCAAAACCCCAACACCCCTCCCCCCTCAAACCCACCATAAAAACCTCAAATCTCTTTCTTCCATCATTTCATAGACAGCCCTTTTTCCCTCCCTCCCCCACACACACCCCTCTCAACCCACCATAGAAAAACCCCAAATTTCCTTGTTCCATTAGTACACACTCATCAAGATTCAACACACAAATGACTTCATCAAAATTTGAAATAAATGATGACATACTTGATTTTTTAATCAAGAAAGCAAATGGAATAAAAGGTCTAGTAGAAGGAAGCCTTGAAATTATCCCAAATCAATGTATTCAACCAAAAGAACACAGACTAGACAAATCTCAAATTGACAATCAAGAATCAATCCCAACAATTGATTTATCAAATTTTTATGATTTGAATGTTGAAAAGTCAATTCAAGAAGCAACAGCCAAGTGGGGTTGCTTCCAAATCATCAATCATGGGATCCCAATTGAAGTTCTTGAAGATTTGAAAGATGCAGCACACAAGTTCTTTGAATTGCCAGCTGAAGAAAAGGTTAAGTATTGTAAAGACAATTATAGTGCTGGTGAATCTGTATTGATGTTTTGGAGTGCTATTGGAGAAAAAAATGAAAAAGTTTTGGAGTGGAGGGATAGTATAAAACATGGTTGTAATCCACAAAACGATAGCAATCTTTGGCCTCCTCAAACAAGGTAAGTTTTTGGGTTTTCAGTTCTGTGTGATTTATAGGTCACGTGTTTTTGAGCAAGTAAGAAGCATACCTCTAGTATTACTTTTTTCATGAGTTTCATATCTTTAACCGTAAGGTGTTTGTATTTTCTATCTAAACTGTAGTTAGCTTTTTATAAAAACAAAGATCGAAACGTACAAGACCAAGTGTCTCAATAAAATCACAAAAGGTTGTGTCACAAGTTAATTAGGCTTAAAATTTCGTGCAAATGGCAACTGACACATTAATTTTGAGATGTGATTTGATAGTTAATTGATGACAGTCAGATTGAAGACTTGTAAAAATATGTTACATCAAGCGTGTTTTTCACCATTATCTCTAAATTTTATAAGGGTGTATATAACTAAAGGAGATAATTGGATCAGCGTAAATCCAATCAAACGCCTTAGCGGTTAACATAGGTGACATGTTGCAGATCATGAGCAATGATCGATACAAGAGTATCGAGCATTGTGTAGCAGTTGATTTACGCAGGGCTCGAATATCTGTAACGCTATTTGTGAATGCTAGCCTTGACAGTGTCATTGGTCCATTTCCACAAATGCTAAAAGATGGAGAAAAACAAGTGTACAAACATGTCTTGCATTCTGATTATTGGGATTATTTCTATCGTAAAAGGCCCTCTGGAAAAGCATCACTAGATTTTTTTAAAATTTGATGTTTTAATTTACAAATTCCTTTTTATGTGAATGTTATTTTGTTTTCAAATATGTTATCATGTAATGACAAAAAATCTCTCTTTACATAACCAGTGAGACTCACTATAATTGTGTCGTTATCTTGTTTTGTTCTAATGATTTACTAATCTTATTTTATCCTTTATCCTACTTTTCGTTTATAATAACTTTACCCCATATTTTTTTCTTTATAATATTGTAAGTTTATTCTTCTAATCATTGATGTATAACACTGTGATAATTTTAAATTTGAACTCTATAATTTGAAAATGGGTTTTCTTTAAAGCGGATACCGAATATATAATAAGAAAGAACATGTACTCACGATGAGTAGTAATTATCTCCGCCATCAATTATATATCTCGAGCTTAGAAATGTCTTTGAATTCGATTTTAAATAGTCTACTGAATACGAAAAATGAAGGGAAAAAACACTTACTTATATTACGCTTATCATATTCGAAGATCGTGACCGGTAGCAACTATCTACATCATTAACTATAGATTTCGAGTTTAGAATGAATTTACTTTCACTCCTAATAGTCGTATCAAGTATAGGGTGACAAAACCCCTCAATCATCAACTAGTTTGTCTCTCATTGACGAAAAGTTGTTTCATATGTCGAGTTTTGATTATCAAATACGACGTAAATTCTACAAAAAAGTCACCATAACGACAAAAACTCATTCATGAAAACATGATTCTTTAAATCCATCCAAGTTTGGCCTGATCATTGCCCCATTTATTTACTGGCTCAACTCATTAAAAAACTGTGTTGATATGTTGTAGAATGTAGTTTCTGACCTTTTAACCAATATAATAAGTGTATAATTTCACATTTGTTGAATTTTGAGCATTTGGCATGGTTGAAATTCAATTATTCACATTTTTACACTATCTAACACGTTTTGGAGAGAGGTTAATTAATGTATCGATTTTCTAGCAAACAAAGAACACAAATATGAAGAAGATTTAGAAATTTTTATGGAAATGCACTCAAGCTATATGTAGTTTTTTCTTCTAAAATATTTAAGTAATACTGCTTTTATGACTTTTAAGGTTTTCCCTATTTACTAAAAAAATAAAAAAATAATACACATTTGATATATGTCCCCATCAAATATTCTCAATTGTCATAATAATTTATAGCTATAAAATTATACTATTAAAAGTAGAATAAAAATATTAAATAATAGTAGCACTATTTTACTGATATTTTTTTATGGATATAAGAGAGTACAAGCATTTATGGTATTACATTGCCTTTCCTTCAATAAAAAAATAAACTTCAAACAATGTAAGAAAATTCGGGTAAAACCCTAACACCCCTCCCTCCTCAAACTCACCATAAAAACCCTAAATTTCCTAAGTCCATCATTTCATAGACAACCCCTTTTTCCCCCTCCCTCCCCCACACACACCCCTCTCAACCCACCATAGAAAAACCTTGAATTTCCTTGTTCCATTAGTACACACTCATCAAGATTCCAAACACAAATGACTTCATCAAAATTTGAAACAAATGATGTCATACTTGATTTTCTAATCAAGAAAGCAAATGGAATAAATGGTCTAGTAGACAAATGCCTTGAAATTATCCCAAATCAATGTATTCAACCAAAAGAACGACAAATCCCAAATTGACAATCAAGAATCAATCTCAGCCATTGATTTATCAATCTTTTTATGATTTAAATGTTTAAAAATCAATTCAAGAAGAAGCAACCATGTGGGGATGCTTCCAAATCATCAATCATGGAATCCCAATGCAGCACACAAGCTCTTTGAATTGCCAGCTGAAGAAAAAATTATGTATTGTAATGACAACTATAGTGTTGGTAAATCTATGTTGATGTTTTGGAGTGCTATTTTTCACTCCCTAAGCCTACACCCTGGACGTGATTAGCACTTGAGAACCATTGTTGTCCCCACGCGAACTCTTGGCCCAGCTAAACTCTCAGCGGAAGACTTACTCAACATAAGATAAACTCAAATATAAAGTTTAAACTTAAATGTCTCAAATACTAAACTTAGAACATTTAAAAATATTCAAAGTGGCCACAAGGATAACTCAAATCTAGAACATTAACAATAGAAAATAAAACAGACTTCTCAACTACTACTGCATGTTAAGCCTCTAATACTATCAGGGATGTCAAGACAAGACCTCCGATCATCCGAACAAAACTTAAATAATATATAGGGGGGCCTCCGGAAGTAGGGAGGCTCACTAAACAACTCTGGAACTGCAAGTGGTATCAATGAAGCGCTAGTTGATGACCTTGATCTTCTGTATCTGCATCATGAAAATGATGCAAGCCAAATGGCATCAGTACATTGAATGTACGAGCATGTAAGGGGAACACTGAACATAACATAAAAGCTAGAACTTTGAAGGAAGGAAACATATATAGTATAAAAACATGGATACTCAACTCAATACAGTATAAAAACAACAATAAAGATGTAGTTAAATATAGCATTTAAAATATTAGATAACAACCCAATGTATTATAAAATACAATAATAACTCAGTTTGTATGTAAATATACAAAATAACTCAATTTGGGAGATTCTCAAACAGACAGCCATCCCTATGAGCTATCTGATGATACATCATCTCGTCTACGCTGCCAGAACTGTCCTATACCTTGTCGAAGTAAAAAACATCCTCAATTAAGTGGATCCACTAATCTATGCTTAAAAATCAAGAAGGAATCATCTAAAATGTATAACCCTTTCTACCCACGTTGGCTATATGGTTTCTAAGGACTTTGAGTTGTATGAACTCGTCCCTCTATCGGTGCTCAATACTACTCCTAAAAATATAACTCAGCTCATATGTTTAAAAACATTTCCTCATCCTCAAGGTTTGAGATTATTACTCAAAAGGTTCTATTAAAAGAGATTATACTCAAAAACTCCTCATGAACTCATTTGGAAATCTATGTTTTCTCTCTTTTTAAATGTGAAAACATTTACTCTTGGGGATACTTAGTCCCCATATTTTCATTTTAAAAAATGAAAATCCACTATCCTCATCCTCAAACTCAAGTACTCAAGTCTTAAAAACAAGTTTTAAAATATTGTAAAAGACTTCTCAAAATGGATCAAAAGAACTCTCAAGACTTTACTCTTAACTCTACCTTGAATTTGAAATGAATTCAAGGGTTATGATTCATGTTATGAAGGATCTCTCAATGTTTAAATGTATTTTAGACTACTTAGAATTATAAGGGAATAAAGGTACACTTTAAAGGAACTTAGATGGAGAAAATGATGGAAAAAAGGTGGGGGCAGGCGACCCTGATTCACTGTTGGTGTGGGGTTCCACCCCCTGAAATTCAGAGGCTTCATTCTGGCGCATCAGTGGCGCGTCATCCCACCCCTCACCAGAACGATCCGACGAATTTTTCTTCTCATTTTCTGACCCTAATTCGCCTAGAATAGATTGTTTTCCTCAAATTTTCTTTAGATTCAATTACCCAATACAACTACATGAGAATCTACTCAAAAACAGCTCTCAAACTCATAATATTTATCTCAATAACTCATCAAACTCATAGTAAATGATTTAAGAACGAAACTTCAAGAAAGTTCATCAAGAACTCAAATCATTCCACCTCAAGAACGAAATTTTTGGAAAAAATCACATGATTGGCGTGTGGATGAATGAACCCAACACTATGAAAGCTTACATACCTCTTAGGAATTAACCCTTGGTGAAATTCCTCGACAAATCTCAAGAACCTTGACGAACGCCTTAAACCTTTCTTTTTTCCCCTCTTGAACTCTTAGGATGAATGAACCCAACACTATGAAAGCTTACATACCTCTTAGGAATTAACCCTTGGTGAAATTCCTCGACAAATCTCAAGAACCTTGACGAACGCCTTAAACCTTTCTTTTTTCCCCTCTTGAACTCTTATCAAAACCCTAAGCATATTTAGGATTGTGAAAACTGACCCAAATCAGTTTAGACCCCTAAAATATTACTAAAAAAAGGCAAAATTTGAGTGTGTAAGAAAAAGACCAAATTACCCTCTCATAATTCGGGTAAATTTCCTTAATTGGACAGGCTGACTTCAAACGGGCATATCTCCTTCATCCGAACTCGAAATTTAGCAAACTCGGTGGTTTTGGAAAGAGGATTCCAATAACTTTCATTTGATATCTTATAGGCTACCTAAATCATCATGTACTAAAAGTTATGGTTATTTGAAGTTGACCCAAAACTCACAACTTAAGCTTAACCGGAACAAATCTCAAATTAGCTCTTTCCAAATTAGTTCTTTCTAAATTTAGCTCTTTCTAAGGCGGGATGTTACAATATCTCCCCCTTGGAAACATTCTTCCTCTAATGAGATTACTCTAAGTAGACTAAGTGTGGCAACATCTAACATTCAGCTCAAACACCCAATATGCAATTTAACACGACATTTCAACTTAGTACCTTAATTTGAAGCTTCTCCGGAAGCAAAGAGATGTGGGTATCTCTTCTTCATATCCTCCTCAGCCTCCCAAGTAGGTTCCTCAACAAACTAGTTCCTTCATAAAACCTTGACTGATACAACCCCCCTTGAGAACCTAACGGTCAAGTATCTCAACAGGAATCTCCTCATATGTTATCCTTAATACCAATATTTTTAGTAGGTATAATAAGTGACGGATCGCCCATACACTTCTTCAACAATGAAATATGGAATACCGGATGGACTGCTGCTAACTCTGGCGGTACCTCCAACTCATAGGCTACATTGTCAATCCTCTTGGGTATACTGTGAGGACCAATATAACAGGGACTAAGCTTCCCCTTCTTTCCAAACCTCATAACACCCTTCACGGGTGAAACCTTCAAATACACCCAATCATCCACCTCAAACTCCAAGTCTTTTCTCCTAACATCAGTATAGGATTTCTGACGACTCTCCATTGTTTTCAACCCTTCTTAAATGATCTTCACTTTCTCCATAGCTAGATGA